TGAACATTCACTTCTAAAATTATATTCCGAAAAGAATGTGTGAGCGAAATAGTATATAGAATCCCGACAAAAGTTTGAAGAAATGCATAACCATTTCATTGAAACCAGATTTGATTAGGTGTTTCGCCTTTCTAGGCTTCATGAGATCAAAAGACAAAAGAAAGACATATGTGTGTGTATTTGTGGGTGTTGGATTAAATAATAAATCAATAGTATTTTCTCCGCTACGCTGGCGTTTCACCTGATGAAAGAAAAGATGGAAAATGAGTAATAATATAATTTACAATTCTTTGTTCATATCAAAAGTTATTTTTATATTCTCCCAGATTTTCTGTATTGAATTTCAGGCAAAACCTCATCTTCTTTTTCTAGTGGGGCGAAGGCGAACAATTCATATAGACTTTACTTAAGAGGACTTAAAAGAAATCCTTATCTATTTTTTTCGAAAATGCGTTGAAAGTGAAATATTTTTATGCTATAGATCTGTGTATGTGTTTTTCGTGTTGACAATATGTGTATAAAATAGGATACAGACTCACGACAAAGTTTTGAAGAAACAGAAATGGATATGTTAAAGAACAAATAGCAAACTTTTAAAATGTTGATGTCTTTTTGAAAATGTTTCCATGTTCTGACAAAGTCAAATGGAATCATATACGTATCAAATATGGATCGGAATCCAAGAGAATGGTTACTTTCTAAGTCCGGCTTAAATGTGGCACCAGGCTGAGTGAGGATCGATCATACTATTCAGTCGTATTTTTTTTCTAGCGAGACAAGCTTGACAACCATTACACCACGCCGAGCAGCCCAAATGATTTTCTAAACGTAGCATTGATGTGGAACAAAGCCGAAAGTGTGGGGCACCTAGTGAGAACGAAATTCATTATTCAGCCGTAATCTATTTGGTGCAGCGTCAGACAAAATAATAGCAAAAAGAACGTTTCATATTTGTTCTTTATCCTATCATTCAGTTGTATTCCGATCCATATATAATCTGAATTAATATATTAACATACATATATGCATGTGGTAAAAACGTTATTATATGGGATACTGGTATTTCAAAAAGACACCACGTGTATTTTTTTTTATTATTTTACACATTGTGTATTGCATCTATCGGCCAGCCCATGACACAATTGTTAAAAAAATATGCGCTCTTCGTCAGGGCTCGAACCTGCGTATCACTTTTTGTAGAAGAAATGAGGCGTAAATTGCTGATATCCACTGTAATAACATTAGTTGCAATAAAGATGTCGGTCTAGAAATAAATCCACTAATTCTTAAGAAATTAGTTTGTTTGTAAAATGAAAATGATCAGATACGGGCTTTCGAGTTAAATAACCGAGTGACAAAATGCGCTTTCCATTAAAGGGAAAATGGAGTTGTGATGGAGTGTGACACTCTTTGTAGCAGAGTGATAAATCACACCTGCTCAAAAGATGAAAATAATTCATTTGAAATTTATATATATATATATATATATATATATATATATATATATATATATATATATATATATATATATTTCATGTATAAAAATATAAATATATATGTATATATAAATATATTCATTTTTATATATATATATATCATTTATAAATATACGCGGTACTTATTGGAAAGCGCCCGATATCAGCAAAATTAAATAACACCGCATAAATACTAATAAGTATGGATTTTCTACCATTTACATGTGCGCAATCGTCAATAACAAGCAAATAACCAGCTTTAAAATAATAACAATAGAGCTTCAAAAATTAAAAATAATACCAATTTTACCTACCATAGACTTGCACAGACCCCATCATACGTATTATTCAGTGGACAAAATAGACGAACGGTCTACGCGTTGCCAGTGTAACAGACAAAAAGTATTCGCTACGTAACGCACCATTGAATACAGCGACCAAATGCGTACGTATGTACACAACGACACATGGATGCATATATATGACCAGTCCCACATGGTTCACATATGTTTATTTTTGTGTAAGGTCCATAGAGTGAGCGTGGGTGTATGTATGTCGGCGTACGTCAACGAGTGAATGTGCGTGCATGTATGTTTGCTTGCGTAAGTATGAGTGGTGATCCAACGACATTTTCCCTCCCACTACCATAAAAATACCAATATAAAAATACCAATATACGCAACCATTTGTCTGATATAAATCCAAATTTAAAATATATAATCAATTTGTCACTGACGATAAAATAAATTGCGCTTATATTGGAGTGTCATTTATGAGCACAAAAGAGACCTCACAAAGAACAACTAATGCAAACTCAAATCAAACTTTGTAGCAGAGTGATAATTAATCCATATATATATATATATATATATATATATATATATATATATATCAGATCTTCAGACACTAATAGCATTAAAATATATTTCTATCAGAAAATTAAATAACACCGCATAAATACTAATAAGTATGGATTTTCTACCATTTACATGTGCGCAATCGGCATTTATAAAAAATAAAAATTGCCAAAATACCAATTTCCTCCCAATATATTTCAGTGGACAAAATAAGTAACGGTCTAAATTTTAAAAAACGACATTTATGAGCAACAAAATGCATATATATGACCTCCCACAAATATGTTTATTTTGAACCAACTAATGCACTAGTCAACATATATGTTTGCTTGCGTAAGTATGAGTGGTGATCCAAATAAATTCAAACATTTAAAATTTGATTTTAAAAACTCACATTAATCCATATATATATATATATATATATATATATATATATATATATCAGATCTTCACAAAAAAGAAAATAATTCACTGAGAATATTGGAAAATCCTAGTGCCAAAGAGACCATTGAATATATATCCAAATATTATTTTGATTTTAAAATTACACAAAAAAAAAAAAATAATTCCAGGGTTTTTCCCCATTGAATTTCATTATTTACTTAACAGAATTACTATTGACCCAAACAAGCGTACACAACAATATCGTGAAATCAAAAGTAAATGGTTGAATTTGTCAACAGAGCAATGATAACAATATCTCCACACGTGACAGTAATTGACGTAATTTTCAGTTAACAGTAATAAAATAGCGTTCTCTAAATTCTTCATGTTGCTAAGGACATTTTGCTTTTGTTATTATTATTAACTTTGTTTAAATAAATTCATTTCTCTTTTTTTTTGCCTTGAGAAAATGCACATTGGACAACACATACCGGCAACTATTCCATTTTTACTATTGTCATTTATATTTATAAATATTGTCTTTTCTACAGGTTATCTCTGAGAAACTTTCATATATATATATATATATATATATATATATATATATATATATATATATATATAAATAAATAAAAAAAGAAACTTAGCCGAATTTTTTCCACCATGGACGAGAGAATCGTCACTTTAATTTGCGCCTTGTCAAGTCTTGGAAACGTCTCGTTTTTTGGAAAACTCTCTTCCGGCTTCTTGTTTCCAGGCAATTTTGATCTACAACAATGTAAATGCAATCCCATCGTTATCGCATGTCTTCTTAATTCTTATTTCTTTATATTCCTCTTTATAAATATTATTTTTCTCATGACACACTGTAAACCTATGTTGGGGTAGAAGTGATGGCTGATTATAAATATAAAAACCTGTTAGTAATGTAGCTTTTCTGTGCCTTTTCTATAAATGTTTTTTGATGAACTTTACTTTAGTATCTGTCGATATTTCTGAGATAAGGTATTATGTACACTATTTAAATTATTCAGAATATTGTCCTCATTTTTGTCGCCAAGACCCTAAAGATTGGGATTTCAATACCCGGTTAAGGCAGTGGAGAATTTGGAGACGGAAATTAACAGGAGATAACTGATAACTGACATCCATTAAACATGACACGTTGAAGTAGAACAGTCCAGTGAGCGAAATAAAGGTTTCAGTTCGACATTCCAACCACGTAAAGAAGGCCGGAGCGTACAACGACCGAAACGTTGTAATAAATATGGCAAAAAAGATGAGGACAATAGTCCGAATAATGTAAATAGTGAACTTTGGTTTATGGTTGTTTTTATTCCCTTCTTCCACCCCACTGACAAAAATTGTACATATGTAAACTAGTTAGGACTTCTTATGAGCTTTGAGGTATTATGGTGGAGGTAGTACGAATGGCAAGAAAGAATGTGTTGTTTTGGTGTAAGGAATGCTGTTGTACATTTGGGTTAGTAAGCGTGGCTAGCTAATTTTAGTTTTTGGACCAAAGTTATTCCCCGCCATTCTATTTGGTCTTGTACCAAATTTTTGTATTTTTACAAAATTAATATTACTTTCGTTTACGGTAATGAGACTTTATCAACTGAATCGCAGTACTGGATTGGCGGCAAGGTCTCATCATTTTAAAAATGATGAAACTGCATGTTCTATATAAACACTTTCTTCTATCTCATTTCTCATTTAATAGAACACTGATCCGGCTTATTACTTTCCAGGCAACTTTAACCTTCAAAAATTTAAATGCAATGTAAATCGTTACTTTTTGTCTTCTAAATTCCTGTTCATTTTTTTTTGTCCTCAATTCTTAACAGTAGATTTTTAATATATACATTTTTTTAACTTTCAGTAACTTCTTGCACCCTAGGGGATTTATTGCCTTACTTGAGGTGAAATGATTAAAAAAAGATAGTATTGTCCCTCCCTCGCCAATAATTACTTTCATGTGCACATGGATAAGCTACTCTCCGATTATTAGAGAGCGACCTGAGACACCTCGAGGTGGTGTAATGGAGAGCAAGCCTATGTCGTTAAAACCATTACGACTCAGGAGTGTGTTCGATCACCAATGGCTGTCCCCTGCTTTTGGCCTTGTGCCACATCTTAGCTACGCTTGAAAAATCACTATTACAGATCAAAGTTCATTTTTATGATAAGTATTTTCACTAGGTTGGCTCTCACTAATCTATACGAAATCGTCTATTTTGTTGGTTTAAATAACATTTTAGTGTTTACTATCACGATTAAGGCTTAGGGCCATATCACATTGAAATACCGGTTCTTGTACGATCACCGAAGTTAAGCAATTTCGATCCTGGTCAATACCGAGATGGTTGACCGTTTGGAAATACCTGGTTTTGTAAGCTTCAGTGTGTGGTGGTTAATGGCTCGAAATTGTTAATTGCTGTAGGATTCGTTTTATTCATTTACGCGTAAATACCCTTGGAAAAAGGTACGAATCCACGTCTTCGCCCCCACCATTTGTATAAATAAAACCATTATTATCTAAAAATAAATTAAATTAAGTCCAAAATATTTAAATTTGATGATTATATAACCGATGGATGTGTTGCTATTCCGCTAAACAAAAACATCTATCACAATTAATCCTTTGTTTGTGATACAGTCACTCAAACGCGTTAGATTGTTTACTCGATGTAGCTTGCTTGTTGTTTTATCCTTCTTCGAAGCCTTCAATATGTTAACATTGTATCGGCCCTCATTCCTCAGTATGATAGCTGTATATTTCAACAATCTTTCCGATTGTAAGTTTAAACTTCCTTCTAATTGCTATTTTCCTTAAAAATGTCTTTCTTTTCTGACATATTCATTCTATTGTATTCTCATTATTTGTTGGTGAAGTCACACTTCTGTTTCTTTCTAAGATGCATTTCTAAGTCTGCCATTCGTCTTTACTTTGAATAACGCTTCCAGATATAATCGGTGATCGTGCAATTTATATTTAGAGATTCCTGATAAAATCCAAATAAGAATCTGCAATGTCATTTGTTCTGATTTGGAGTCTTGAAACCAGTCCCTTTCCCACAGCCCAAACCTACCTTACCTGTGCAGCTTCTATAAATACTTTCATGCTAGTTGTTCCGATGAGCTTTCCGCTATGCTATCATGACTTTATGATTTTAACCGCAGTATTAGATTGGCAGAAAGGTCTCATCATTTTACATTTGAAACGCCTAGATGTAACCGGTAGTTGTATGATAACAATTTCCCTAACGTTCAGATTTTTGCCATTATCGGGTGTTTGGACACTGTTGAAGTAAGTCAATGAATCTGGCTGTCTAGTTTTGCTGCCAGTGCACTGCCTTCGCGCGTTTATCTGTGTCGATTAAACGTCTCTAGGGTCAAACCATTATTTAATTCAGTACGGTAGCTTTTGCTGTTTGGGTGTTATAAGTTTCAGCTATTTCTCTCTTTACTCTAACTATCTCCATTGCAAAATGATGGTATTTCAAAGCATAGACGAGATGAAAAATGAAAAGGGAAATTGAGCAAGCAGCTGATCTTAAAGGGAGAATGTGTCTCGAGAGGGGCTAACATATTTAAATCCAACAAAGTCGACATTATCCTACTTAGGGTATTCGATTTTTATAGTATTGTTTTCATAATACATGCCCCAATAGCGACTCGAATTAGAACGTTAATATTTATTTTAAGGAAGTATGAAATATAGATTATGAGGAAATGCAGAATAGATAACGGTGGATCCTGGAGAATGTTATTTGTGTCCATGCAAGAATTCTCTCTGGTGGGCTGTTCCACAAAACATCGACTCTTGGCTAGAATTGGAATTTCCTTTTTACCAGTGGAAATCGATGTAAATGAAGATGATTCTTCCTTGAGGACACTGCACGACGGGGCTTTGTCGTAAGGGTCTGATAATATAGTTCGTCAAATCGTTTACCATGGAAATAACTATAGATTGCGTCTATTTCTCAGTATGTAGTGGCTGTAGAAAAGAAAATCGCGTCTGCGACGCTGTCATAGCCAGATAACTTCCGGTTAACCAGCAATGTGCACTCTTCCATAAAAAAAGAAGGCAAACGCACAGACAATTTCTATCTTGTCAGAAACATGGCGGCGTACTCGGCTTGAAGTGATAAGTAACGATTTGTTTCCATCACTGAGACATCGACACATACATGTGCACATGCGAAAACGCCCTCAAGAATCACGTTCCATTTCTGTTGCTGTTAATCATTTGCCGGAAGGAAAATGAAAAACGTCCTTCCTTTTTTCCCCTCCCCTGTTTTTCACGCAAACATCAACGCCGACCCTCCAACATACAAAACATAAATAAATTAAATCACGCAAACATCAATATATATATATTATATTTAATAAAATATATTAGTTTAAGAAAAAAAACTAATCCGTATGGGTAAACTTAAGGAGGATGAAATCCAGAGAGCTCAATATAAATCCAGAGCAAATAATTTAAATAAAAACAGACCACTTTAAAATTCCATGTAATAAATTATTTCACCACTGCCCTTTTAAAGGACTGCGGATCATCAGACTTTACTTCCAAAACATATATATATATATATATATATATATATATATATATATATATATATATATATATATATATCAAATATGTGGTGCAGTTCATTTTATATTACATGAATCGTTCACACAAAATGTAGATTAGTAAAGTTAATGATATAAAATGGCATTAAGTTGCATTAACCTACGAATCGCTCGATGAATGTTATGATCCTTGTTTTTAATAACTTTAAGTTGTATAAGTTCTTTTTTTATTTTGCTAGTACTTTCACCTGTACTTACAGCCATCCTCAGGTATGTAATTTTTTTTCTTTGTTTAATATATCCAGGTAATAGCGAGCACGAAAAACTAAATGCGAATCGAAATATGTTTTCCTTAGAAATGTTTTATTGTTAATGGATAAAAATTTATGGAGCGTGCAGTCGCAAAGATAAGGTTGAATTTTTTTAAATTTAAGAGAGTGCATTTTTTTTTTTTACTAATATGGTAATTTGAGAAATTTTCTTGTAGTTTTTTTTCAGTCAATGTGGCATGAACTAAATTTAGTAATATATATATATATATATATATATATATATATATATATATATATATATATATATATATTGAACAATAAGAAAATAAAAAAAAATTAAAATCTTTAGACACACTGGGTTGTAGATTAATATTATTTCGTTTTTTATTATTATTATTCCATTTAGATTCCTCGACTAGTTTCGACCGAAATGGCCATCATCGGGAGGAGAAATATTTCTGCTTGCTGATAGCAGTGAACTACAGAAATGAATGTCTTGATGGAGAAAATGGACTTTTGTCTGTAGTTTTCATATGTTTTTTATTTTTTTTTATTTTTTTATCTTTTTAACATGAATCTTTTAACATTTCTTGTGTTGGTCAAACAGTCTCTTTTAAGTTGTTATTTGAGATAAGAGCTGGATAGATACATGTTTCTTTCCGAATTCTGTGGTCAGTTTGACAGTTTTATTGGACCTGGTGACGGGATGTGTCTCTGTTTAGTGTTTGTGTGTGTGTTATTTGGTTCTTAGGTAGTGAGTGAGTATGATATTTGTAAGCGTGTGTATTGCTGTAGGTGTGTGTTATCATTTGGCTCATTAGCCAATATTACTGCTCCCTACCAGTATTAGGTATATATATATATATATATATATATATATATATATATATATATATATATATATATGCCTAATACTGCTAGGGAGCAAACAGATGCTAGATCTTAGGGTACCCCGAAAAATGGTTCGGGGTACACTAATTCTGTCCCCTATTTGAGACTCCATTGTCGAGTGTCGTTTTCTAATATCAATGTTTCTAAAAGTAAACTCATGATCTCGAACAAGCAAGACTCAGTACAGACTCAGGTGAATCAATAAATCTGCCTAATATTTTACATACCTAAAAAACGAAATAAATTCTACTGAAAAGGATGTGAAAATTCGAAGCACGAAGAAAATAGACCTCATCTGGAAATATCATCTACTAGACAACCTCAAGCGGAGATTCTTTTGCGCCACTATACATGCTTGAATATTCACTAAATCCCTATTCTCTAAGTTTCATGGAACCTACACTTGAATGTTGAGAGCTATACTTAACATCTGTTTGACATAACAGCCAACTAAATCACAGCACTATGGACCCATACAGGAACGCAGAATATGATATGCAGAACATTGCTGGCGAGCAAAGTAAGACATTTCGAGTGATCGAGGACACCTAGATATAGCTGAAGACGGGTTGGTGGCTAAGCAACGACCTACACTGACCAGCTATGTTATGACACAGAATTCCACCCTAACGAACTTCCGACCTTAATGCAGGGCCGTGATGGTTATCGTGATATACTCATGGATGTCCAGTAAAGGCATGAAACATATTATCCCTATTCATTATCAGTTATTGTTAAAATAGATCTATCGACTGTCGGCAAAAAGACCGAGAGGTTAGGAGAAAGAGGGTATCATTCTGGCGACCAAACCTAATTCAATCAATTCAAATCTGAATGTTTCAAATTAGGCGTATCTTGAACATCTGAAAGGAGCCGCAGTCGGCATTAGCGTTTGAAAATAAGTCAAATATATATATGTATATATATTTACATCGGGCAAATATTTATTTATTCATTTAGCTATTTAGTTGTTTGAGTAAAAGGATTAAATCGATAATAGCCCTGCTGTAAAATCGATATAACTTGCAAAATCTGCTAGTTCGTATATAAACCGAGATTCTCTGATTGGCTCTTTTTTTTCCCTCCATTAGTTGGTAGGCAGAAGCTCAGAAAGAAAAAAAATAGCAAAGAATAACACATAACAAATCAAGAAAGATTTAGGTCTGACATTTAAACTTTCAAAACGTGGGACCAAACTATTAGATGTAAACATCATCCAGCTCCCTTTTTTCGCATTATCTACGTCTTATTCGATGATCACAAAAAGAGCCGTATAAAACCCCCAAAATTACACATTACTTAAACATAAAATATCTCTGATATATATATATATATATATATATATATATATATATATATATATATACGTGTGTGTATGTGTGTGTGCATGTGTATAACATCATCATATTGATAACAGTAACACAGTATCTAACAGTGTTCATATCTATCTACCATCATGACATATATCTAGCTAAGACTGTTGATATTTTTCTGCCTAATGTTATCTGTTCATCAGAATCTAACTCAAACTGTTCATTATACATATATATATATATAAATACATGAATTATTCACACAAAACTAATGCAAAGGTTAATGATTTAAATGGCGAGACATCCATCTCGCAAACAATTCAAATAGTACACAAAAACCTCCAGATCCGTTATGAATGAATTGATCCTTGTTTATATAAATTTCTGCCGTATTAGTTGTTATTTTTACTACAAGCTTTCGTCTGTTCCTACAGACATCTTCAGGTATATAATAGATGTTGTTCTTGTTTTTTTCTCTTAGTAATAAGAGGACATCGAAAATATATGTGTATTGTATCCGAAATGCTATTGAAAATGAGATATTGGTTTTTGAACGCGCCAAAGCAACGCTGAGTTTGATTTTAAATTTCTTTTTTTTAAGTGTTTGCGTTTATACCAAATATGGTAATGAACAAATTATTTTACTGGTAAATTTTACTGTCAAAGTGGCATGAACTATATTGTTCAATAATTACAGTAATGTCGCACTTATTAACCAAAAGTCGCACATGGATCAGTTATTTAAATTACAATAAACGTGCAATCAATTTACAAATACATGAATTATTCACAAAAACTAATGCAAAGGTTAATGATTTAAATGGCGAGACATCCATCTCGCAAACAATTCAAATTGTACACAAAACCTCCAGATCCGTTATGAATGAATTGATCCTTGTTTATATAAATTTCTGCCGTATTAGTTGTTATTTTTTTAAAGACATCTTCAGTAAAATAATGTTGTTCTTGTTTTTTTCTCTTAGTAATAAGAGGACATCGAAAATATATGTGTATTGTATCCGAAATGCTATTGAAAATGAGATATTGGTTTTTTGAACAAAGCAACGCTGAGTTTGATTTTAAATTTCTTTTTTTAAGTGTTTGCGTTTATACCAAATATGGTAATGAACAAATTATTTTACTGGTAAATTTTAATGTCAAAGTGGCATGAACTATATTGTTCAATAATTACAGTAATGTCGCACTTATTAACCAAAAAGTCGCACATGGATCAGTTATTTAAATTACAATAAACGTGCAATCAATTTACAAATACATTTATTCACACAAAACTAATGCAAAAAGTTAATGATTTAAATGGCGAGACATCCATCTCTTAAACAATTCAAATTGTACACAAAAACCTCCATATCCGTTATGTTTATATAAATTTCTGCCGTATTAGTTGTTATTTTAAAAGCTTGTAGTAAAAATAACCAATAATACAGAAATTTATATAAAAAGGATCATATATATTGGATGTCCTGCCATTATATATATATATATATATATATATATATATGTATGTATGTCTATATATGTATATGTATGTATGTCTGTCTATATTTCTGAAACGAGGCATTACGTACATTATTTACATTATTCGGTCTGTTGTCCTCATCTTTGTCGCCATATTTATCACAACATTTCGGTCGTTGTACCTTCTTCAGGTGGTAGGAATGTTGAACTGAAGCCTTTATTTCGCTCACTGGGGTAGACTGTTCTAGTTCCACGTGTCATGTTTGATGGATGTCAGTTATCTCCTGTTAATTTCCCTCTGAAAGTTCTCCACTGCCTTAACCGGGTATTGAACTCACTATATATATATATATATATATATATATATATATATATATATATATATATATATATATATATATATGTAAAAAAAATATAGTCTTAATGTGTGCTATATTGATGGGATAAAATGCTCAATATCAGAAACAGACCGTGTGTAAATATAAAAGTGAACATAGTAGTCAACACTTAGAAGCAACAGTCTGTTTCATGCTATATGCAATCGTCAGGCCACGTGTGCTGTTATTTTTCTCGGCTATTTGTACATATACAGGTCAGTGGTGCATTGTGGGTAGTCTATTATGGCGGTTATTTTACCGGAAGTAGTTTATTTATTTATTTGGGTTAAATTATTTTGCTTGTTTTTATTTAATTTTATTTTTTGTTTCTTATTTTATTTATTTATTTACTTATTTTTTAATCGGTGTTTTTATTAACGTAGTAAAAATTTGTTTATATCCCTTATTTAATAGTTTTGTTTTGGTTTGAGATTTTAATGAAAGCTATTTGTTCGGTTTTGGGGTTGATTGTTGTAGTTTATTCTAACTATTATTTTGGCAGGAACAGTTTTTAATTTGTGTTTATTTGGGTTGATTATCTTTATTTGCTTTTTCTAACGGTAACTTTATCGCGATTGGTTTGTTTATTTATTTACTTGGATGAATTGAGGTCAATTTATTTTACTTGTATATTTTCTCTTTTCGGTTTTCGATTTTTAAGTAACGTAGTATTTATTTATTTATTTTTTATTTTTATTTTATTTTTATTTTATTTTATTTTTTTATCCTTATATAACAGTTATAGCTCTTTTTTTCGTTCGATTTTTTCGTTTAATTTTTTAGTCTAACTAATATTTTGGTCATAATGTTTTCCTACTTTGTTTATTATTTACTTTATTTATTTGGGTTCGTTGTTTTTTGTTAATAAGTGCTACATACGAGGTAAGGTGTAGAGAGCTATGATCACCCACGTCCTGAGGAGACATGGCACGTAGAATAATATATTCTTGTTAATATGTTTTTCATAAAATTCCCGAATATAGATTTCCGTTCAGATTCCTAGTCTTATTGCATTTTAATCATTTCAAACCCAAGGAAGGCGATAAAGTCACTAAAACGCAAGAAGTTACTGAGAGTGAAAGAAAAGAAGACACTGATGAAAAGACAAGACAAAAAAATCTTATTTCAACTAAAATCAATGTATACAAATTATGTGCATTAACAACACTGGGCGGGTTCTCTATAACCGACCTGTTAAAACCTCTTGCAAGTTTTCAGGAAAAAAAACACTTTCATGGAATATTCAATATCAAACGAGGTTCATTCACATCAAATAACTCATTGATATATGTATATCCTGATCAACTACCATAGTAATGAAAAAATAAAAACAATTCTGCTGTGTTTGGCATGTGACAAGATGTGATAACAGCAAACAATCAAAGATAATATTATTTAGAGATTTACGGCCACATCACATTGAAACATCGATTGCCCTTAGACAACCTAAGTAAAGGCAACGTCGAATCTGGCCAATACTTAAATGAGGGATTGCCTAGGAATATCGGGCGCTTATAGCTTTGATCTAAGGTTCGTGTAATAGATAATGGCTCGGAATTGTGAATCGGAGAAGAGAGTTCAAATTTCCATTGGGTTCGTTATATTCACTTATGGGCGAATATTCTTAGGAAAGGCAAGAAACCACCTTCCCCAGCTCGGGGGATAATTAGTATGACTTCGACCATTATTATCCCCTACCCACAATATTCTTACACCCTGAAAAATATTTTAGGTGTTAAATAACATTTAACGAGTTGTTAAGAAAAAGAATCCATCTTTTTTGGATAGCTAGTCTCTCGTAAGCTTTCACTTAATTGTCTTAAAATAGATACAAAGAAATCATACAGAAAAAGATGAAGTTAGTAGCAAATACATTCGACAAATTCACTTTTTATTATGTTTCAGATCATTATGGCGGCGTGTTTTTGGACAAGACAATTGACGAGGTTTTGATGACGAAGAAAGAAAATATCAGTAGGGAGGCCATAAAAATTAGAGACATTTTTTGATAGATAATTTACTGCAAGGCACATCTTTCCCATATGTAGACTGTTTCTTCTTCCCAGAATCGGTCCTGTTAACAATAGGATGTGCCGTATGCAAAAAGGACAAGTGAGATTATCCGAAATTAATAAGCAATTAAAACTATCATGCCCTCTTTGTGCATTTACTAAAAATCATATGACGTCTTGAAAAGACATCTTCATTAACACAGAAGTAGTATTCCACTCAGGAATACCCCAAAACCTGTATGTCATATTTGCCAATTTGTTGCAAAGACAAATACAAGTCTAGAAAATAATTTTTGGGCTCATAAAACAGTTAATTAAAGAAATTGGTCATTTTCGATGTCGAGTATGAAGCCATTAGAATATTTATATAATGCATCGTTGGCTTTATCTCGTATTCGAGAATTTAATTTCTTCTTTTCTGACCGCTTCCTCTAAGATAATGGCGTTGACGTATAAACTTTCTGCCACCGTGCGGGTTCAGGACTAGGAACTTCCAGATTCACCAAAACCTGCTCCTGTCATCCATAACGTAACGCCGTTTGATTTTGCAAGGTTTGCTTGAAGCTGAAAGAAAATGAGAGAATAAAAAAGTGCCGATGGCGTGAATTTGTTTAAGGTGGATGTCAATTTGTCAGGAAGTGACCCACAGACTCGATTTCGTGATCTTCCTCGCTGACACATATGGAATGAGACATGCAGAATACATTTATGAAACTACAATGGACTGCCGGAGAATCTCTTATCATTTCGTGTGGCGCCTTCTGTAGCATGTCCGTTATGCGTATCCCACTTCATCCGTTGATTCGACCGTTTAGATTTATCATCTTTTTGTTCCATCGTCGGGGTATTTGGTGTTGGTCACGCTTACGGTGGATCATTGTTTTCGAACTTGTCACCAAGGGTGGTTTAAAAATCCTGAAGTTTTCAGAGTTATTGAACCACGCAGCCCGTGCACCACGACCATATCCACCAGTGATATATTTTATTATAAAAATATTTAATAAATAGATAATATTCGTTAATATTATTATTTATATTATTAAATATTAAATATATTATATATATATTAAATATATTATATATATTAAATATATATACTATTATTATTATATATATTATTATGTAATATAATATTATGTAGTGATATTTAATTATAATATTATTTAATAATATATTACTTTAATAATGATATTTCTTATAATATAATAATTTTATAATAATTGTATATATTATTTATATTTAATGCTTATTCAGTGTAAGCCGGATATAAGAGACCCGGATATAAGAGAAACCCGGATATAAGAGAGATTTTCTCAGGTCACAAATTAGAGCCTGTGTTAATGTATATAAAATAGACGAAACCCGGATATAAAAGAAACCCGGATATAAGAGACTTCTTCTCCGGTCCCGACAACTCTCTTACATCCGGGTTACACTTATATCTTTTTTCTTAATATGTGTTTCTTTATTTATAAATTATTACATTTATTTAGTTTCTTTGTTGATTTATTAATTAGTATTTTTATTTATTTAATTATAATATATATTGCTTTTATTAATTAACCCGAATCTACGCACTGCTTTATGTCTCTAATTATAACTTTACATGTTTCCTTTTTAATTACGCTTCGTCTATTATTGGTATGTTGTATAAAATATCAAATCTTCTCTGAAGTTTTATTTTCTTGTAAATGGTAATAGTTCAGTATATGTTAATCTATTTACTTTTTTATTTAAAATGAAAAACATTAAATGATACATCTGCTAAAATGAAAATAATTAAATCAATAAATGTTTTTTCTTAATATTTTAATGTAGTAATTTCAGGAATTCTTTCTCATTAATATAAATATGTCATTATATCTCTTAATTTTGAATTGCTAGTCATCTGTTAATATAAGATTATTGAAAATAATTTTCCACCTTTTTTACTGATTGAAATCAGGTCAGTTTACATGTATCAGTCTCCTTAGACGTACTACTCCCTATATACTCTCTTTTCCCACTCTTCCTCCCTCTTGTCTTCTCACTATTAATACTTTTACTCTTTCTTTCTTTCTTTCTTTCTTTCTTTCTTTCTTTCTTTCTTTCTTTCTTTCTTTCTGTCTTTCTTTCTTTCTTTCTTTATTGCTGTTTTTCCTTTCTTTTTG